ACAAGTACATTCCTACAAGGGGTCTCGAGAAGATAGTATGTAGGCAAACGAAACTATATTTCCTAACGAAAAATATTCGTTTCAAAATATTTGACACCATTCAATTTCCATGCAAGTTTAACAACTTAGAAGAATTAAAATTCTTCAAGCGACTCAAATTTTGAATACTGATGTTTCCTTTTTTTTTTTTTTTGCAAACTACTTCAAAATTGTTATTGCAATGATTTCCTACACTATTATTAATATATGTCAAATTAATATTCTAATATAGAATTAAACACTATCATTAAAATAGAATTAATGAAGACAATTATCATAAATACTAGTATATAAAATATTGAAATTTTATAAAAAAACAGATACAAAATGATATTAATTAAAAAAATTTGATTTGAACCCTGAATACGTATCACATTTGATAGGAAGTGTGTACCCCAAACTAAAACTTCTCGACATGAATCAAGAACAGTATTTTAAAAGGCGTGGGCGTAAGGCGAGACGTTTTACATATGTCTCGGCGAAGCGTAAGCTCCGANACACACACACACACACACACTCCATCCCCACAAAAATCTAGTCAAAACAATCTATTATACGCTACTTAGAAGCACAGTAACTTGAGTCGAAAAGAATAAAGTTTTTTACATGGGGGAACAAAAAGGATGACTAACCTATAATTTTAACTTTGAACTTGGTGCTATGAATGAGAATAAAGTTCTCTTTGTATTTGTAAAAATAAAATTGAATATTCGTTGCTTTTTGGGAGATATTAACAGACTAGCGGACAAAATAAAGAATTCAGAAAGACCCTTAATTAGGGTTTCAATCAATAAAAAAGGTCGTGACTTTTAAATTTAATGCATTTCAGTTCCTTTTTAAAACTTTTGAGTAATTACCAAGATGAATTTTGAGAATTTGGGTATTATATGATGTACCTATTCAACAAATTTTGTTTTAATTTGAAATAGTCTCTAGGGGTTACGCCTCACTAAAACAATGCGCCTCGACGCCTGTGCGTAAGCCATGAACGCCCGGGCATACTCCCAGAATTGTTGGGCGTACGTCTCTTTAGACTTTCGGCCCATACCATCACCTCTGAACGTTTTTCGTGCATCTCGCCCCGGGGCTCGTCCCGAAAACGCCTTTTAAAACACTGATCAAGAATAATCGAGCTCCGAAGCGAGTAATGCAAAGAAGAAAAGAAAGAAAAAAAAAAGACGTTAAAAGTGGCAGAAACCAAGTGTAAATTTTGCCGGCGGAAAAAATAAAAGTAAATAATTATGGTTGGTTATAATGATATAAAAATTTTAAAAAAATGGGCCACAGTGATTCAGTGAAGGCCTACTTCATTGATTACAAGCATGTGAGAGGCTGCAACTCAAGTACAGTTCAGGACATGCACCATGCTCTGCCCAGAAACTCAGATTCCTATTTTATTATTTAATTATTATTGTATTTACATGAATTTTTAATTCATTTTTCATTTCCCTAATTTTATTGCTCACTTAAATTAATATCCACCGACGCGTTGTAGACTATTTAAATAAAAGGCAACCATTATTTGTAACAATACTGAGACCAAACACAAATTGAATTTCTCCGTGCCTTCCTTAATTTAATCATTAGGTTTGTCGTCTGTCTATAACTGGTCTCGACTAAGAATTAGCCTTAATATAATTGAAGCAATTTGAACAATAAAAAGCTACTATAATTTTCTCAACTTTATACCTTAAATAATCAAATCGTATACAAACTTATATAGAGTGATGGAGTCAGGAATTCATATAAAGAAATTCAAAAAACAGTAGAATGTCGCACGTAAGAATTGAACTTGTGATTTAAAGTAAATTTTGGCTTTCCTTATATTAAGGGAATTCAACAGTTTATATTTAATAAAAAATTTATATTTTGCTCCATTTGTAAAGTTTAGTTTTTACGAAAGGGATTCAATTAAACTTTCTTACGTGAACTTAGCTCCGCCGCTGTGTATATACACACATAGAAAGGCAGCAAAAATAGAAAAAAACAACCTACTGAATTTATAAGGAGATGTTAAATTGTAGAACTATTACCCCAATTCTATAAGGTTAAAAGGTTAAGGGAAATGCCTTTCTGCATTATGAATCTAAACAAATAAACATATACTCCTTTTGGATTGGGAAATGTTTTATATATTTTGATTACAATGGTAGGTGTCAATGCACCAAGTCAACAGTCGTGATCTTTTCGTATTTTATGGCAAGTGCAATGATGTTTCATTTTAAACCTTTTTAACGATGTCCGCACTAATTTTATATTGGCGGATTATTTATTTCTTCAACGACACTATTACACACTCTGATATATTGAAGCAAAATAATTGCTCTAAGTCTCGCCACATTAACATATGAGGAATTTTGAAACTAGAAGAGAATCAAAGACTTTAGAAATGAACAATTAAGGTATAGTTCCTTTTTAAATCGCCTAAGGATCAATCTTTAAACACGCTAATTAATTTTTAATTATTCATTACTTTTTTTTTCCACAATTTTTTTTATTCATTACTCCGTCTTGAAGTTTGGTGTAATGCTGTATATTGTGTCTTTAATATGCTTTATAAACATTCCCATGGTCCATCAGATAAGAAAGTTGGTCTAGATTACATGTAAAGCAATGGGAATTTCTATCTAGGGAATAAGTTTTAACATTTATCACTAGCAAGTAATGTACAACAACAACTTACTGTTGAGGATGGTGAAATTCCACGAGTGAGGTCTGAGAAGGGTAAAATGTACACAGATCTTAATTACCCCTACCTTGTGAGAGGTAGAGATAATATTTCTGATGGACCCTCGGCTTTAGAAAAGCATTTTTAAAAACCAATTTGGAAAAAACACGAATAAAAATTATGCTGAAAATAATGTAGAAAGGAAAAAAAAGTACTGCTAGTAAAAATAAGAACTAACAAGTAATGTACAAGAACCAAAAATGTGTCACAAGCACAAGAATGCCCTTGTTTGGTACGCATAATATTTACGTAAAGTGAAAAGGAATATAGCAATTGTTCGTAATATTAACTTTGCCAAAATAAGGTACAGCAGGCTAAAATATTTGCTTAAATTTTCAGCAAGACCTTGAAGAAGCTTTGTAATATACCTAAGGCAATTAATTAAATATCATAACCACAAAAAATAATTGCTACTTAGCTCTATCTTTCAAGCGTTAGCTTGCTGAATATTAAATAAATAATGGATTAAAATATCTTGAGAGTCTCATTAATTTCATAATTCTCTTGCCAAATATTATTATTTATTGCGTAAAAGTGAAACACAAATAAAACACTTGTGGAGTTTTTGTAATATAAACCAAACAAGTTATTTAGCTTAACAAATTATAAATTAAACTGAGTTTATATATATCACGTCTTAATGATGGTAAACAAAAAGTAGCAAAAGAATATTTTCCATGTACCAAAAAAAAGGATATTTTCCATCTAGTTGCTTAAACAAGTCCGAGAAGCCACATGCATGAAAGTCAAAGGCTTCTTTGGTACTGCAATAATGAAAATTTAGAATTTACCAATATTGTAATTTATTTGAATCTATTTCTACTGAAAAATAACAGTGATTTAAATGAGACATAGCAATACTGCTAGCGCTACCACAAGCGAAAATTAGTAAGTTTAACTTTTACGATTAGGTGCAAAAAAATATTCTAACAATTAACTACATGCAAATGACTAAATTAAACTGTAAACATGAGTCGCTATCTATAAAATATATTACTAAGTAATATGCTATATCAGTTAAATTACACAAACGATAAATTTGCCGTGGAATTATACTCTAGCTACTTTTAAATCCCGGAAATGTCTTTGATTCATTTGCTTAGAGCTAAACTACCTGATTAATATACTCAGGGACGGATTTATAACCCCAATCATGGGGCATGTGAACCCATAGTCTTACCGTTAAATTATGTATTTTAGATACATATTTTTTAAAATTAGTCTAATATTATCTATTGACACTCGTGTTTCAAAAGGATTGGATGGTACACTTGGTATAATACTTGATTACTTACCCTGAGAAACATCGATTGATTCCCACTTAATACTCTTTTTTCTACTTTTTAGTGATGCACTCATAATCAAAAAATCCCAGATCCGACTCTAATATAGCACACATATTTTGATTTTTGAAATTCTAGAAATATCTTCCTTTACTGTATTATATACGGACTTTGAAACTTCTTAACTAAACATTATAGTAATTAATTACTACCAACTCAGAAATCACACGCAACATGGTGGTAAATGGAGGACTCTAGTGGCACTCATGCAGTCAAAATTAGGTAAATTAAATCAAATGACATTTTAAGAAACCCAATCACCATTCTATATGGTGGATATTTGTCAAATAAAATGTTCTGGATATTCAATCGGCTATGTACAAATCTCACAAAATGAATAATCAAGATTGTTGTTTGAAAAAAAATATTTATTCACTCGGTATATTTAAAATCAATCAGTGTCACGAACTATAAATTAACTACTAATTAATTATATTCCCTCTATCTCAATTAACTTTTGAAACTTGTCGTTCAAAATAAGTTATAGATATTTGAATGACCGTAAATTGTTTCGTAAAAAGTAAAATAAGGAGTTTAAAATTAATTATTTTTAAATATAAAATATATTATTAACTATAGTAATTAGTGTATACTATGATTTTGTGTAATTTTTCTTTTCTTAGGATTAGAGACTCCACCAATGAGCAAAAGTAAAAGTAAAAGTCCGAGTAAGACTCATCCCCAGACAAACACACACGTTGAAACAAGGTTTTTGCCACTGTATTATTTGAGAATCTATCTGCCCGAACAAATATCTGACTGCTGCCCGTTGTCGGGTTTTGTTTAGACTCGGTCACCTGCCCGCTCGTTTCACCCCACCCACCCTCTCCTTTTCGGGCAGCTCCAAACTTCAACACACACACCTCTCTTTCTTCTTCCTCATAAATATGTAAACTCTCACACTTTCCCATTCTTGCCACCACTCACCACCACTTCCTCCGCCCTCCACGGTGGTGCAAAAGAGTAGCCATAAAGTTGCTCTCTTTTTTGCAAAAATGGGTCAGGGGTTGAGTTGTGGATCAGGTGATGAACATGGCTTATTTACTGCTGTTCAGTGTGGTGATGTGGAGACATTAAAAGCTGTTTTAGAGAAAAACCCATCTCTAATTCATCATTCTACAGTGTATGATCGCCAGTCAGCTTTGCATATTGCTGCTGCTAATGGTCAGATCGAGGTGGGGTTCTTGAAAAAGTTTTGATTTTTATGTTTCTTTTGTAACTTTGGTATATTCAGAGGAATTTGATTAATGGGTTTTGATTTATTTTCCAGGTTGTTACTATGCTGTTAAACCAATCTGTCAACCCGGATTTGTTAAATCGCTATAAGCAGGTGCAACTTTTGCATATTTATACTCTTTTCATTTGTTTTGTTGATTAGCCAATTTGTGGCAAATGGGTGTTAATTGAAAGTCTAATGATGTTTTCTTTTTTTTTCAAGAGCTGTTCTTTACCATTGTAATGTTTTTTGGTTGATTTAGACTCCATTGATGCTAGCAGCAATGCACGGGAAGATCTCTTGTGTGCAAAAGCTTATTGAAGCAGGAGCTAATGTATGCTTTACTAGTCTTTTATTATTCCCTTATATTTCAAATTTATCATTGGATGATGGCCTATGTGTTATGTTTTAAAACTGATGTGGTCAATTTGGGAAAAAATTGTCAGATTTTGAAGTTTGATTCGCTAAATGGAAGAACATGTTTGCACTATGCTGCTTACTATGGTCACTCTGAGTGCCTTAAAGCAATTCTTTCTGCGGCTCGCACGTCTCATGTTGCAGCATCTTGGTAAGTTTCTTAGGTGATTCACTAATTGATTCTTCTATTTTCAGTCTCTTATATGAGCTTATATGGAGCGACATGGACATTAAGGATTCATATAGCCGATCCCAACATGCTTGGGATTGTGGCTTAGTTGTTGTTTTTATATTGAATCCCTTCTGTAGATGTTAATGGTTGTTTGAATCGACTAAATTGAATTCTTCAGGGGATATGCCCGGTTTGTGAATGTTAGAGATGGGAAAGGAGCAACACCTTTGCACTTAGCAGCTCGTCAAAGACGGCCTGAATGTGTTCACATTTTACTGGACAATGGCGCTTTGGTTTGCGCTTCAACTGGTGGATATGGGTAATTTTTCCATCAAGAAATTATTTTCTGTTGTTTTCCGTTCATGTTCTCTGAATTAACTTAGATTTGATGTGATTTTATAATTAAGAAGTTATGCTAACCCCTTTTATCTTTTTCCTTATGTCTATTTTTTTTTTTTTTACCTTTACAGATTTCCAGGTAGCACTCCACTTCATTTGGCTGCAAGAGGTGGTTCTCTTGATTGCATCCGCGAATTATTGGCGTGGGGAGCAGATCGACTACACAGAGATGCCTCGGGGTATGTCTTCTTTTATCTCTTTTAATCTTTTCAATATTTATGGCTTATGAATTATAGAGTCATGAATGTTAATGCTTGTAAAATTACCCTGTAGTTAGTTTAAGTTCTTCAACTGGTCATTATGTTGCAGGAGAATACCGTACACGGTTGCTTTAAGGTACCACCACGGTGCATGTGCGGCTTTATTGAATCCTTCATCAGCAGAGCCTCTCGTGTGGCCATCGCCGTTGAAGTTCATCAGTCAGCTCAATGAAGAGGCGAAGGCTCTCCTCGAACATGCCTTAATGGAAGCAAATAAGGAGAGGGAAAAGAATATCCTAAAGGGGACAGATTACTCGCCACCGTCCCCTACTCAATCTGATGCAGGGATGGATGATAACATCTCTGAGGTAATACACCACCTACTTTTGCTCAATAACATATAACCTATTATTGAAATATATGTTACTCTACTAATAAATAGTAATGAATTTGAAAATTAAACGATGTCAGCGTGGAAATGATGTGAGGTATAAGATATTTTAGTTCCAAAGATATTTAAGGTTAAAGAGTATAATATCGATTCCAAAAAGCTATCAAGACTGGTTTTTTAACATTGATGATCGAGATATTCCTATGTATAGTTCTCTTGTTATATACAATTTCAATTTGACCATTTGTCAGCGGGTTTCACTTTGGATTATCTAATGCAGGTCAGTGATACAGAAGTATGTTGTATATGTTTCGATCAATTATGCACAATTGAAGTCCAGGACTGTGGGCACCAAATGTGTGCACATTGCGTACTTGCCTTATGCTGCCACAACAAGCCAAATCCGACCACGACTAGTCCTCCGGAACCAGTGTGCCCCTTCTGCAGAAGCAACATTGTACAATTACATGTTATCAAGGTTACAAAGGACGACGGCATAGACCGTGATATCTCCTCAAAGCTTCGAAAGTCTAGGAGATCACGAAACTTCAGCGAGGGCAGTAGTAGTTTTAAGGGCTTATCAGCAGTAAGTTCTTTTGGCATAATGACTGGCCGTGGCTCGGGTAGGATCGCTGCTGAAAACGAATGGATCGATAAGCCATTAAGCGTTGATTGATAGTACAAATTTGGTATCAAAGTTACAAACTTGGCAATTAAGATCAGTCCAGGTTGGGGTCTTGCTTCTCAAATGGTATATATAGATAGATCTTTCTCTTCCCTCTGCATTGTAGATTTGGGAAATAAGCAAAGTTAAAATGGTTTGCAGGTTTGGCTAGATGAGTACTATATTATTTGTGTGGGTCACAAAAAAATGAGTATTGCTGTAAATTTCTGTTTACCATAAACCGTGGTCCGGTTTCCCGGATCCCGTGCATAGCGGGACCTTAGTACATCCGCTTTTTTTTCTTGAAAAAGGGTGGTAGTTCTTAGGGGCTAGTAGTAGTCACTTTGGATAGGTAAAATTCTTTGCAGTTACCNTTTTTTTTTTACTGGTTCCTTTATTTGGTGAAAACACAACATTATTCCATTGTCTCCCACATTGGTGAAGATTGCAGTATGATGAAAGCATTGGGAAAGAGTCAAAACTCAAAGCAAGTGATGAGAAAAGTAGACCCCACCTTACCCTATCTTTTTCTTTAATTTAAAGCAGCCTCTAGGTGTGAAATGAACTACAGTATTGTTTATGAGAAAAAAGGGTGTGAAATGAACTATAATTTGTATCAATCATTTTTTATTTTCAGCAGATATTAATGAATATTGTATAATAGCTGGTACAAGTTGCAAGGACATTTATTTTTTGTTGCTGGTCAAATTGATCATGTGAATCCATTGCCTTTTGGTTCAAAATTCAAATAATTTCTGCACTAACATAGAATAAACTTTAAAATTTCAAGTAAGTTGGGGTCTGTTGTGTAAATCTTCACCAGTCTATGTTGATTCGTGTAAGTTTGTTTTAGTCCAATATTCGGTACTAGATATTTTTAATTTTTTTTACTAACATATAAATCTCTATAAACTAAAATATTTTCCAGTAAATATTGGACCTAAAGTAAACATACTAATATGACGGAACTTTAATTTCAATAATTGATATCAGTTATAGATCTTTTTCCTTTCATTATGCACTATTTTTCTCTATCGAGAGATTGTAGATTTTTCAAGATAATTTCCTTTCATGTGAATTTAGGTCTATCTCTTCTTTTTTAACACCTTAACTCGCTATGGTTTCACATACGACCTTTCATTTATTTGTTATGTGTTTATTTATGTCTTTTATTGAATGAAGTTATTTTTAATCTTGACTGATCGCACATTTATCGCAGCATCAGGATTTTTAAGTCACTTATCTTTTGAATATGTTGGACTTTAGAGGCTCAACTCACACTCCCATACATTATTTTTAATCTTCAAACTGTTTTATAGAGCTTGCCTTTCACTTTAGTAATTATCCTTCTACCACATAACACTTGGAGTATCACCTTTTCATTTCATCCATCCTATTATTAACATAAATGGAGAAATAATTCCACTTGTGATGCAAATTTATTCCCACCACATCAATAAGATTATTATCTTATCAAAATATAATTAGACATAATTTAGATAAGGCTAGCTAATATGGAGCCCACAAACTATGATTTACTGTGATGAGGCCATGTGGAGTTGATAATATCAATATTGGGTGGGGTTTGTGGGGAATTAATTGTAAGTATGTGGGGCTAGGTGGAGATGTTACAATGTTTGGTAAAGAAAGGGCACCTAACAAGAAGAAGAAAGAGGGTCCCAAATTTTAGTTAAGCTTCTTGTTGTTGTGTATTTGGAGGAATTGGTTGATTCTTGAAAATAAAATAAAATCACCAACTGTATTTTTTGATTTTTGGGACTTGACTTTTTGCATACTTTCATATGAACGTCCATAAGAATATAAACTGTTATATGACCAAATTGCACATATATTTTGTCAAGGGTGGTTTTATAAGGCCAATTTAAAAAATCTTATTCCTCTTCTTTTCTTTTTCTCTTTCAAAGGAGCGGAGCTGTTGACTTTGTTACTTTGGTCTGCCGCAGCCAGCACCTGAATTGCTTCGGTGGGAGGGAAGGGAAAACAATTAGAGCAGCTCGATGCACAAAGTATCATTTTACACAGGGTTTGGCGAAGGGCCGCACGCCAAGGGTATGAAGTAGACAGCCAACCTTACAACAACAACAACAACAACATACACAGTGTAGTCCCATAAGTGGGGTCTGAGGAGGGTAGAGTGTACATAGACCTTACTCCTACCTTTAAGAAGGCTAGACTGTTTCCGATAGACCCTCGGCTCACGAAAGATAAAGGGAAGTGGCAATAACAAGCAAACCAATCTAACAACCGAAAAGAAAATACAAAACTAACACTAGATAACGAAAGCACTAATGACTGCTTCCACGGCTCGAATTCGTGATCTATAGATCACACACAGACAACTTTAGATTGCTCCGAGGCTCGAAAAGGAAAAACAATTAGCATAACTAATTTGCTAGCAGTTGCAGTAGGTTCACAACTAGTATAGAACTAGTCAATTTAAAATGAATTTTCAAAATATTAAATGGGTTACATTGTGACATGCTTTTCTAGGCATGGGCTAACATGTTCAAATAAGTCGAAATAGATATTAAAGATTCCATAATTGCCAATCAATTTGAATTGGGGCGTCATAAGTAATAATTTTAATTATAGTCTCTGCATAACTTGTTCATGAATCAATAAAACTTTATTATATTAACATAAGCTAATTCGTCTACAAATTAAGGCGGTCTAGAAAGGGCATTCTTCATTTTTAGCCTGTGCCAAAAATTATTTATATTTGGTAGACGAAAAAATATATAATATTTGCATATTTTTCGTATATATAAATACAAAAAAATATATAAAAATATATATATATATATATTCGGCTATTATTTTGAGAGCGGCTATACAGTGTTGTTGACCCTCAAAATCGGATAACAATTAAATTTGTAAGTGGTTTTAAGGATACGCTGATTAATTTGATACAAAATGATAAATTTGATTAAAACGAACAAATAGAAATACAGTAAATTCAAACCACGCGGGGAAGATGTCTCCGGCCTTAATGAACTATTTGCCCTCTATCCGGGCTCACAATGGTCAATATTGATGAATGAAAGAAAAGCATAGAATAAAAGTGAAAATAATAGTATATTACTTTGGAATGCGTGTTACAACGTGCTTAATGAATTATCAAACTCCCCTTTATATAGTAGGGGAATCCTACTATATGTATAACTCTATAAAAGTTAAAAAATCTTCTGTTTAATTGATTGCCGGTTTTACATCGATATGTGCTGAGATCCACGTTGTGATATCCAGTCGGTCACGGATATTACGGCCTCCTGTTAGCCGTGCTTGATTGCCCAGCGACGCTCTCCGAAGTCCTTCAGGTTTTAGGTCGATCTCGAATCATGACCCCGATATTATCGAGGGTCGATGGTCGGCCTCCCGTACTCTGACTCGAAGATATCTTTGCTTCGATTCCGATCTTTCGCAATCATATTTCGAGCTCGTTTTACCCTATTGGAGGCTAGAGTGTATCATGGGCCCGACTTTTACCCGTACACAAGTGTCATTTTCCCCTAGAAATACGTTTCAAAGGCATAGCCCAATGTCCAAAAATGTTACAATATGAACTACAAATTACAAGTTTGAATTCCATAGTGTCATGATCATTGTTGTTAATCGATGTAAAGAAGAATTAGCCCAAGTGCTTAAAAGTGGAACTTTTGAACCTAGGTCGGAAAAAAAAGAAGAGAATTTTGTCGGTCAAAAGTGAAAAACGGGAAAATAAAAGAACTGCAGAAAGTTATTCTTGTGATTAGCCTTTAAAGTTTTGTAATTTAACCAAGAATGAACTTGAAATATTAGAGGCAATAGTCAAAATGTTGTAATGTAAAACAAGCATATACGACAATAACGAATCATACGTCTAATTTTCCGTGGCGGCCTTTTAGGTTTTCCAATTTTAAACTGATGCGCGTGTCATGTTGTAATGAACAAAATTAATAAATAAATGAGTAAAGATATTTTGTGAAGTTCCAATCCCATTAAAACGGTTGAAAATTCACATGAAATTAATTAATTAAAAAGACGTATGATGTACGACAAGAAATGACCAAGAAAAATAAACGTTACATTCATGACCTAATTAATTACAAAATTTAGGTAAACACATGAATTGTAATATCACTCTTAAGTGTCTCCTTAGTCACATACAAATACAATTCTAGTCACTAACCAATTTTAAGAGACAAAGGAGAAATTGTTAAAAAAAGAAGAGGAGCCCTTAGTTTGAAATGTCCAAGTTGACGATATAACTTCGTTCTCAAAATAGCCATGAATTTCAAATGACAACATCACTTTAAATCATGAAAAGGTGGTTCTTACTATAATTTTATTTTATTTTTGTTTGGCTAGTGTATATTTTGTCCACTTGATAACCCATTACCTTTAATTTATTAACAAATTTTCCATTAAAAAGAAGGAACAATTTGCCCTAGTTGCTACTACTAGATTACTTAGAGAAACAAAAGGGACAATTGGATATTGACATTTTATGAAAACGGGGTGGTCTCACATTAGATGTGTCTATAGGTGTAAAAGAGAAATGTACAATAATAAATGACCTATACATTCTGTTTTAATGTTTCTGAAAGGGCAATTTCATATCAGTATTATGTTTTCCATATATGACTTTTCTTTGCATTATTGCTATAATAATATAGTGAGTAATAATATATATATTTTTTCAGATAGAGAATCTTAGCACAAATTAAGGCTAAGAATATCGACTTATACACGCCAATTTTAATTTACTATGATAGATAATTTTAAAATGTTAGACTTTATATTAACAATAATATGATCATTGTCTCAAAATACTTAGACAAAGATTGTTGCATTATCTTATCCCTTTATTGTAGCCTGACTAATGATGCAATCTCTTGTTAATTGTATATATTTAAAAAAGTGATGTCCAGGTTTACTTGCGCGCACTCTCGTTCGCACTTGCTAGGCAGTAAAACTCCCAGCATACAATGATAACTTAATGAGTTCTATTACTTTGCAATATTGAAGAACTCTGATTAATTCCTATCATTCTCAAATTTGAAAATCATTTCTCTATTTTTGAAAGAAAATACTGCAACTTCATACAATTGATCATTTAATCTGACTTATCTATACATCAATAAGACACTTCTATGAGTAACCATTTTTTAATTTTTTGCGGGGTGTTATATGCTAGCGATTGTATGCTCAGGAACATTTTCTGAGCTGAGTGTCTATCGGAAATAATCTCTCAACCTTCACAAGGTAGGTTTAAAATCTGCATACACACTACCCTCCCCATATCCCGCCAGTGAGATTACACGAGTTTTTGTTGTTGTTGTTGAAGGAACATTTTCTAAGAATACAAGATCAGCCCCATACCAGTAGTTATTTATGTTTATTAAACCAATAATTACCAAATGAAGATTGTTGTGAAATTTGTAAACAGCAATTTACAACACATTTTCCAGCTTAAGTAGAAACTAAAGAGAGAGAAAAAAAAATTATATTCTTGACTTGATGTTTTTAAATGTAACTAGTAGCTTTATCAAGAGGTAAAGAAGAGAGTCAGGAAAATGGACAAGTCTTTTCATAAGGAGAATGAATAACAAAATCCATAGAAATTAGGATCTTGAGCACAAGAAATGAGCAATATAAAATGAACAGATGTATGTAGCAAAGAGAATTAAGCTAATTGCTATTAGTATGTTGGTCTGATCAATCAGCCACACATTGTTTTCTTTTAATCATTTGGTATTTGAAGCACATTGTGTCTGACTAATCTGGATATGCGCGGAGTAGGGATCAAGAGAAGTCTCTCGAGATCAATCTGAAGTGCTACTAACTCTTTTTGACGATCAAGTAAATCACAAAAAAACTCATATCATCCTGCACTCGACAAATACGTTGCTTTAGTCTCAAATCAATGGGAACAAATTAGAATCAAGATTCAGGGGATACAGAGAGTTGTAATATGACACGAACCTAAGATATCATCCACACATGCATGGAAACAAAAGTGGAGCACCTTGGCCATGAACATCATGCTCTAATTCTCTATTAGCCCTCTGTCTATTTTCAACATCAGAACCTGACCATGGACTCAACTGAGGTGGAGCAATTTGTCCATTAGCAAACAATGAATTCTGATCTCTATTAGGCAATGCCATAGCAAATTCATCAGGTCCATATATCAAAGGACTATGGTTATGACTTCTTCTATTTCCATTAGCAGTAGCTCTTCTTTCTACTGCAAGAAAATGACCAAGTGATGGTACATTACTACTGTCATTGTTCCTTATCATCATTACACTCTCAGCATCTGTGCTGTTTCTTGGACATAAAGAGAAACACCATGTTGTTTTTGACCTGTAGTTTTTTTGGACATCTGTGATTACACCATTTGTTCTTGACCTTGTTGATCTTCTTGAGAGATTATTAACTATACTGGAGACACCAATTAGACTTCCAAGTGTGGTGCTCCTATCATGGAAAAATGACCCTGTAGACTGCAAATTCCAAACACATTTTAATAGCATAGTTTAGTTACCAAGTAGCCAGAAATTGGAGATTAACTATTTCCTACTCATAAATATTGTATAATGATTATTTTCAATCAAGTTTGCTTAAGATTTTGACAACAATGGCTCTGGAGCTGGCAGGTTCTGAATAAGTGGCAGAGGCACCTTTAGTAAGGGGTGTCATCTGATACTGCTTCGTAAAAGGTTTTACTTATATGTGTGCGTAAATAATATTTTTTTTTCTAAGAAACAATACATATATATAATCGGCGGAAACCACCTAAAATAATATAAGATAAATGATCAATTTGGTTCAAGTAGTAAAGTCTTAAAACCATCAGAGTCTCACACTCAATCTCGTTTACAAGCTTAATTGTGACTATAAAGTATAAACCGACACTGCTTGCAGGGGCGAAGCTATGTATGGTCAAGGGTGATCAACTGAACACCCTTCGCCGAAAAATCATACTATGTATAGTGTAAAATATTAACTTGTTATTAAGTAAAAAAAATAGACTTTGAACACTATTGCATAGCCTACTAGCAAAGGGTGTTCAAAGTTTGAAAACTCTTATTGAATTTTCTGGCTTCGCCGCTGACTGCTCGCTTAATATCTTGCGTATGCCACTGTTTTGGATAAAATTAAAAGATTGTTATAGGGTTATTTAACTAATTAGTCTAGACATAAACTTGGTCTAATGAGTACCAAGATACATATAACTTTAAATTTTCATGTAGTACTGCTGCAACATTAGGGTAGTTTTAGATTCAAATAAGTACAAGTAGAACAATCAAATTGAACTACTGAAGAACCAAGGACAAGAAGAAAATTAAAGTTGAAATATGTTACACAGAACTGATAATTGAGGTTCATAAAAAGCATCCCAAGGATTTCATGTCAATGTACTAAAGGGACACCAGTGACAGCTTTAATAATGTTATGGTCCCAACTTACATTGAACACAGAGTGACATGACATAACTCACAAATATACTTCACAAGATGCATGAAACTATTAATGAAGGTTGAAAATATCCCAGTGCATCATATGATTTGGACAAAAAAACCAAGGACATTTCAATAAATAACAAGTAATCTATGTGTCTCTTTCCTATCTTGTTCAATCTACTTTTGATTCTTATTCTTTTTGATATACGTAAACTTCAACTACTCCAATTTATTATGATCTTGATTGTTTGTATTTACATTCTTTTCACATTTTCACCTGTCCTTTCTTCATTATACCTAACAAACAACACCATATAATACTCATAAATCCACAGGAATGTCACAAAGGTTAAGCAAGACACATGCTGCAGCTTTATTTGACTAGTTAAATTTTTCACTGCAATTGGTAAATGAATTTCACTTATATATCGTGATAATGAAATGAATTTTATATAATCAGTGTACTTTAACTGGTTATATATGACTTATTTGTGTCATTTTTTAAATAATCAAATTAGGCTAACTATAGACAATTATCCTGTAAGGTTATTGTATAAAAAATATTTACACTATCAGCGTACATAAGTTAAACCTACGGCAAATTGGGATATATTGCCAGCCCGATGCACAAGGCATCGGGCATTCACAAAGGCCCGTGGAAGGGCCGTACCTCAAGGGAGTGATGTAGACAGTCTACCCTAATACAAACACTAGTGGTTGTTTACACCTCTCGAACGTGTGACCTATAGATCACACCGAGACAACTTTATCGTTACTCGAAGGCTTTCATTCGTGTGGGAAAGAATGAAAATAAAAGAAAAGAAAAGTAGTGCATGAATAGTATGGTAAGTTAGAAGTATACACTGACCTCAGTGTCCAAATCTGAAGAAGAATCTGTGGAGGAAGTAAGAGACTGACTAAGTGAAGTGTTGAATGAAGCTGAACCAGCAGAAAAATCTCTGCTCCTACCCAAACCTATTCTCATATTCAGTGGTTGCAATCCCAATGGCCACCCTTCTTCCTGCTCCATCAAATCAATCAACAATTCAAAATGAAAAAGAAAAAAAGAATAAGTACAATAAAGAAAACTAGCTAAAATAGTAGTGGGGTTTAATTTCCATCTATCAATTCAAGAATCTGACCAAGAACCAAAGGACAATTTTACAAGGTAATGAATGGACTAGTCTCACTTCAAATTATAAGGAAAAAACACAACCCCTCTTCACAAAATAGAAACCCCATGTGGTAAATTGCAAAAACAACAACAATAAACTCAGTGGAATCCTACAAGTTTAGCTTGTGGAGGTTAGTATCTACGTAGAACTTAAGGCAGAACTTAAGATAGAGAGATTGTTTGTGACAGACCATTAAACAATAGAAACGACCAATATCAACTAACAATTGCAAAACAGTGACAATGGGACAAAACAAATACCTGTTGAGCCATGGCCAAAATAACACTGTTATATTTGATAAAGATTTGAGTTTTTACTACTCCTCTTGAGGTAAAAAAAAAAAAAAGAAACCAATGAGGGTCACCTTAAAACCATTGGATTAACCTGAAATAACAGACAAAAGAAAGAATGAAAGAAGCTGTCATTTCAAACAAATAGCTGTTTCATTACACAAACAGAAACTGCAGTAAAGAAGAAGAAGAAGGACAAACTCACAAACATGGTAAGTGGTAACTTCATATACACATAGGAAACACACTTAACATAAAGTGTAAGAACATTGTTTCCTATTTCTAGCTAGAATAAGAACAAGTAGAATGGAGTCAAAAGAATAGCTAATGAACAGAGTAAAAGTTGGTTTCTTTAAATTTTTTATTTTTCTTGGTTTGCTTTTTTATTTTGTTGATGGAGAATAAGAAACATAGAATAATTGTAATATGTCGATAAAGGTGAAAAAGCAAACAAACAAAAAGACCGGAAACTGCTGCAGAGGTTGTCCTTTTTAGAATTGGAGCTAGCAACTATGACATTTGCCTTTCCTCAAAGTAGCTAAAGCTTTCATTAACTTACACTGTCATTGTCAGATGACCCCATTTTATTTTATTTTATTTTCGTTAGCTGAACCCTTGAATTAACAATTCATATAGAGAGAGATGCTTTGCTTTGTATTATCCTTTCTCCATTTAATTTATACTACGTGTAAAAAAAAATTTTTATCTTCAATGTATTTTAACATCTTATAATATGTTACATGCTTTATTTTTTAGTAGATGTTGAGCTATGATTTGAAATTTAAGGATTCGCGATTCTAGTTCTTTTAAGTTACTAGGTTCAAATTTATTTTTTTTACATATTCCATGAATTTTACAAAACAAATACATAATCTGCACAAAAACTATTCGGTTCGGCCGAACCCGTAAGCGGAGGACTAGCTCCGCCCTTGTTTTTTAGGTTTTTCGTAAAACTTGGTATGATAGTTGTTACATATAGTTATTGTTTAATGACCTTAGAGGTCGTTTGGTACGTGGGATAAGAGATAATAATCCCATGATTAAATGCAGAATTATTTTATCCTGTGTTTGGTTGAATTTTTGAATTCTGAAACTAATTAATCCCACAATTGGGTATTATTCTATCCCATGGTGGGAAAGTAATCCCCGGATAAATGGTAAAATTACAAAGATGTCCATCTCCAAAGTTCTTTCCCAAAAAATTTTAAACAATTCAATGTTAAAATTGAAAACAATAGCTTATCCCAACTCATCTAGCATACATCAATCTTTTTGTTGTTACTATTTGTTGTCGTTACTTTTTATTTTATTCTTTTTCTATCCGATGATTTATCGGAAAAAACCTCTCTAGCCTTCTAGTGTAGGGGTAAGGTTGCGTACATCTTACCCTACTCAGACCCCACTTGTGAAAACTCAATGGGGTTATTGTTGTTGTTGTTGTTGTTGTATCTAGTATATACTGAACACATATTTATATTAATATTGTATATCTCATTTTTAGTCCAATGAACCAAACATCTTCTAATAAAAATACATTGACTAAGTAATTCCGTCATTATTTAATTCTCGTATTATAATCTCGGGATAGCTTGTAATCCTGACAAACGACCCCTTAGTATATAGAAGTGATTTTTTTTTTAAATTATGTCTTTTCATGCTTAGGCTTCGGCCATGACCCCTCCTTGTATCACTGTGTTTGACAATTTATTCTTATGTCACTTCATTTCTTCTTACTCTATGTTCTTTTCCATTGTCAAGTTTTAATTATTGTACAGCTTATTTTCTTAAGTTAATACACTATTAGGCTAAGCATTTGCAGTTGGCACACCCAATGAATTGAAAATAAATAGAGAAACAAAGAAAAGGTAAAGGGCTTTTTTCACTTTTAGCCCGCGCCATAAACTATTTACATTGTGTAGCCGAAAAAATATATAAAATTTGTATAAGTTTTGTATATAACCTGCAGAACGTATACATATACAAAAAATATATATTTTTCGACTATTATTTTGAGAGTTACTATACAATTTTATTTTTCCAAAAATAAATGTGTAGGGCAATCTTCTTAATAGCTTAAGATGGTACCATGGGATCCATTGATGGTGATTATAGAGAATCCAATAAAGGGTAAGAAATGATTTCAATTTTTTTTGCTTAGGTGTATACCAATTGCAACAGGGGAAGAACCAAAAAAAGTCTTCAACTTTCATAAGGGCCTTTGGTCCTTTTTGGGCCCATTTCATTTGAGGGCCCACATTATACGGTCCTTACTTTAACTGTTCCCCCAACTTAAACAAATAGACAAGAAGGTTTCGACATTGAAAATGGGGTCCGTTGGCCCATTGCTCCATCACCCTGATTGGTCAAAGTAATTGATTACCTCAAAAAGTAAGAGTTAAACGGGTAAATAGTCACTTTTTGAGTTGGCTATTAGAGTTTGGTGTCTGTATAGCAATGTAGCCACTTAAAAATAGGAAATCTTGTATAAATGTGCTAAATAAGTTCCAACTTACCAACCTCTAACCATTAATCTCATATACCTATCAAAACTAGTCAAATACATCTAAAATTGAAAATTCAAATAAATAAGTTTCTTTCTCTCCAAGAATTACATGCAAGGATCTCCTTCCATATTTTTAAGCGTGATTAGCAACATTAGATGCAAGACGGAAAAAAATATCATGAATAAGGTAGCAAATAAGGTGATGAAATACAATATATATATAGATATTGTATCCAAAAATCTAAGCAAAAAAGAACCTTTTCAATGAGTTTGGTTAAAATTCATTGAAAACATATAGATGAGTCAATATACAAAATTTGAGAAAGATTGGAGGTGATTTGAACTGATTTGGTATCAAAATTCGTAGTGAAATTCAAGTTAAAAAAATTCTTCTGCGACACATATATCAAACATGTACCTCGCATGTATCTCTCACACAGGTATACATGAATATAAATGTGATACACGTTTGATACAAATATGATACATATGTGATACACAAATGATACACAGTGAGATACACATATTATTTTTTCATGTTCATCTTCTACTTCGAATTTTCAATTCAAAACTCCAACAAATAATCTCAAAACTGGGATTCAAGCTCCTTAAGATGTACCCAATCTATTCTAATAATATCCACTCAAAAGAAAGCACAATTTTGATATATTTTTGGCTACAAATAGCTAATTGGCTAATATTGGTAATAGTTGGCTAATATTTTATGAATTGATCAATTTTTATAATGAGCTACTTAAATGGGTAAAAATAGTACGGGCTAGCCAGTTTTCGGACTGGTAATTAAAAAATAACCAATGTTTGCAAAGTCATTGAAAAATAGCCACCATTTTGTTGCAACACGGAAAGTTCCAGCCTAATAGACTAGATATTGATGCACCTGTATATGAAATTCCAGCATATTATGCTCGAACTCCAGCACACGAAAAGTTTCAGCATAATATACTGAAGATCGGAGCATCTATGTATGAACTTCCAGCATATTATACTAGACCAGTATATTATGCTGGAACTCCAGTATATTATGCTGGAAATTCACATGTAAAAAATTCGAACTCCAGTATATTATGGTGGAATATTTTTTGGATTTTGAATAGTATTTTCGTTCAGATTTATCTTTACATGAAAAGTGACTAAATTTCGATTACTTTTGAAACTGTGGCTATTTTTCAACAATCACTTGTAAATCTGGCTATTTTTGAATTTCACCCCTTAAATGGACATAGCCGGTAGTTTTCCTTAAAAATACTCCTATCTGAAATACGAAAGAACTCCAGCAATCGGTGTAGATTTCAAACATTCTACGGGTAAAACTCTAGCATAATATACTAGTGTTCCAAAAACTCTCAACATGTAAAATCCCAAATATACAGTATTAGACTTTAGAGCTTTTAAAGGTAAACTTTCAGCACATTATACTGGAGTTCGAACCTTCATAAGTTCAAACCCCAACAACAATTAATGGAGTTCAAACCTTTATAGGTTCATAGCCCATCAACAATTACTGGGATTTGAATCTTTTTCACATTGTTTTATTTTTAATTCCTTGACACAATCATGGAGTTCTAACTATCACAAGCAGAAATTACAGAATATTATCGTCGAGTCCAAAAGAGGTACCATAGGTGAAACAATCCTTTTAGGTTCAACCAAGAGCAGTGATTACTAGGCTTTGAATCCTTTTTATATTATTTCATCCATGAAGGTTTGAACACAGTTATTTTGAACTACATGTATTATTACTGGATTTTACAATATAGTAAAGACTCAAAAACTAGGAAACATTCTTGGGACTTAAAACATTTTGTGTTTTTTTTAGAACAAAAACATAAATTTAATCAAACTCATAGCTACTTTGCCATTAAAATTTAAAATATAGTTTAACGCTAATAAATAGCCCAAAAAGTGATCAAACCCAGCTAATTTTTCCAAAAAGTAATTAGACCATTTCCAAGTATTCTCATGTTTTGTTTCTTTTTTTTCTTTCAAAAAAACGAGAGAAATAGTAACTTCCTTCTCAAAGTTAAATGGGAAGAATAATAAATTATCTCTTATATATATATAAGTTCAAGAATAACTGTCACACCCCGAACTTGGGCATGGACATAACACGGCACTCGGTGCCTGACTACATACGACCGAGCGAACCAACTGCTGACTGAATCAAAATATAGTATCATAACATATTGAATGCGGAAGATAAGCTAACACATGCTGACATACTGAAAGTCTGAATAATATAAATCAAAGTGCAGAAATACTAATACAATTCAGAAACATATTTGTAGCCAACATAGCTTGACATGAAAAGCCTGCGACTCTGTCTAATTGTTACTCTAGTCTATGAAGCCTCTAATGAAGTACTAAAAATACTGACTGTCTGAAAATACTGAAGACTGTAAGGTAATGATAATGCCCCGAAAGAACTGGGGATCACCAAATAGCTGGTACGAGAATCCTAACGCTCTGAATAGTCAACCTGTAAATCATTACCTGCATCGTGAGATACAAGTCCCAAGAAAAATGGGACGTCAATACATTTGAATTGCACTGGTATGTAAAGAAACTAAAAGATAGAACTGTAAATGCTGAAACTGGAACTGAGCTGATAATAGAGAACAGATAACTAACTGAAATGATAACTATTGAAACTGAAATTGCATTGATAACTCATAACTTAAATGATAATTGATAACTCATAACTGAACAAAGAAAGTAAGGATATGAATACTCCATCTTCTGAATGATGAACAACATGTTTATCTGAATAAATAAATTGCGGTCTCAGGCCCAATATATATGTGCACAAACTGCGTCCTCAGGCCCAAGTATACGTATACATAACTGCGGCCCCATACCCAAAAATGCATAAAGCATTAACTGCGGCCTCAGGCCCAAATATGCATAACACATAAATTGTGGCCTCAAGCCCAAATATGCATAAAGCATATACTGCAGCCTCGAGCCCAAATATA